GGCGTTCCCTCTTTTCCTGGCTTTCCTTCGCTTTTAAATAGCTTAAACGCGCCGTGCGCATTTTACTTTCACTTTTGAATTAATGGCAGTTTGGCGTCAATTGCTTGAATGCAACAACAAAATACAACGTCAAACTCACTTTAGCCTATATATAAAACATAGAACTTTTATTAACAAAACAAATAAAAATACACCATGCTATAGGGCAAGCCGCCTAATATAAAATAACAAATAACTTACTGTCTTTTGTGTAATGTTCACTAGCCGAATCACACGTTGGTGGGCGGAGTTCGTGTAAATAGACTCTGCCAACAAGGCGGGCTATTTGCACTTAGTGTAAATAGACACTCCGAAAAAAATCAAGCCATTTCATGTACTCTTGGGGGCCCCCTGGTGGCCACGGGGCCCTAAGCAGCCCCTTAGTTCACTTATGCCTTGGGCCGGCTCTGGGCAAAAATCAAGCTTAAATGGATTAGACTCACTGTTAAAAAAAAAACCTTTTACAACTTAATGCTGCCTTGAAATTTAAGCTTAGTCAAATTGAAATATGAAGTTGGTGAAAACGTCTTAGGTTACTTATGTAACCATGGTTCCCTGAGTAGGGAATGAGACACTGCGTCCTCTAGGTTTCTTGCCATGCTGCGGACGCAAGCTTCAGACGAAGAAGTGAATGACATGTTCTCCCTGCGCCTATTTATACTATAGTCGCACCGGTAGTGACGTCATGGGCTGTCGCCGGCCAACGTGTTGTTGGTGTTTTTTCAATGTATGCTTCAGACACGGGTCACGACGAGACATTCCCCATAGCGACCCCTAGAGGACGCAGTGTCTTGTTCCCTACTCAGGGAACCATGGTTACATAAGTACCTGAGACGTTTTATCCTTTACGTGTACTTTGTAGACTGTCCCTAGCTGGCCTAAGCGCTAGCTCGCTGCTGCTAGAGACTTTATGCCTTGCAACATATCGAGGAGGAGTAAAACAAATAAACTGCGATGTGTGTTCAGTTCTACGTTCTAATGCTTTTCAGATAAGCCATTTTTTATACAATTATACTCATCCACTAAGAATTTATAGATTTTTTTCGCAGCTGAATATCTGTCTAATATCCAACGTCAAACGTCGAACCACCGTTATATCGGTTTGGACGTCATTTTCGCCCAGAGACTTGTTTATCCCTGAACCTGCTGTACAGCAACCAGCAAAGAACCAGTACCAACAACAAAGAAAAAATGAAAACGAACAAACTGCGTTAAGTAAGAAATTACAAACATATAAACATCTTAAAATTAGTGAATATCTTAGCTTTAGTGAATAACGGATAACGTTAGGTCAGCCACGGTATTACTGTTACTGAATACTTCATTCACAAGGTAAATGTAGCTAATAACGAACGTAGGATTTTGAAAAAGGCTTAAAACCACTGTTGAATTACACTAGATGATCGCCATATAAATAAAGTAGCCACACTTACTTTGCAATTCCTCTATTTCTCTTTTTAGCGCTTCACGATCAGCCATCTTCAAACCAAAACACAGATGTCATAAAACCGCGACGACGCCTGTGATTACGTTTACAGGCAACATCCAATCATAACACGCCTCTCAACAGATGATTCTAAAGTTTTGGTTTTGAGCTGAACTACGCCTGGTTGTTCGAAATTTACAGACCGACCGTAGTTATGTCTGAAGAGTAGTTTCATTTAGAGCAACATTATATACTTCTGAAAATCACATCATTATCTTTATTCCAACAACCTTTTTAAGTGTCTGTATTTGGAAGAAGGCTGACAGTTTTGCATTCTAACAGTTTCGTTTTGGGTTACAGAAATCGAAAGTACTACTGACATCGGTAAGTAACGTAATGAGCATAATTCGATCGAATGTTTGCTCAATTTAATTGGGAATTATTAATTTTATGAAGTCGATTGAGAGTGGTTGTTAACTTATTTAAAAACTTCGTTTTATTAGCCATATAGTATTCCAGGTCGATATATCAATAATCTATTAACAAACAAAAGTTACTATCACTAACTTTTGACTGTTTTACAGAGGGTGTCTACGCAGATCTTCCTATCTACCAGCGCTGTTGTTTTAAATTGTTTACGTTTTAACTTGAAGGTATTTAACAAAGAAGAAGAATATGCATTACTCAGAGGAAGTGAGCAAGTAACATAACTCCAATGCTATAGGCCCATGCCCACACTGGAAACACTGGTGTCTACCTGAAAGCCTGACGTACTTCAGTTTTCCAAGTAACATTTTCAACAAATGGCTTCAGCTGACAACAATATATACTTCATCATAACTGCAAATCCACCTTCACCAAATGTGTATATAAAGGCTGGTGAAATATGCTTCATACATAAAGAACGATTTAATGCAAGGCAAAAAATAAACAACACAGACGTTTTACCTGTAGTTTGTATGGGAAAATTAACTGATACATGGCTTGATAAAGTTCTTCTGCAGCCATTGTCACGCAGAGAAGCAGAATTACTGATGGCTCTTGAGTCCAATGAAGACCGACTCTTGGCCCTGAAAGATCCTGAGGCTTTAGAGAAGGCTTCAAATCTGTCTGAAGGCGGTCAGGTTCACGTGGAATGTAAAGGGCAGTGGCTCAAAGGTGTGATTCGATACATTGGCAGTCTCACATCTTATAGTTCTGATCTTATAACAGGAGTCTTCTTCGGGGTGGAACTGCAGGTGAGTAACTTGCTTGCATGAGCGAGATTGTGTCTGTAGTATTGTTGAAGAGAGAACAGAGGTAGAATAATACAAACGACCCACTAAGAGTAATGTTGTTGTATAAGTCTTATATTCTTTTTATTCTTAGGGGGAAGATAAAGGAAAAGGCCAAAATGATGGTTCCTACTACCACAAAACATACTTCACATGTCCTAAAAACTCAGGCATGTTTGCCCCTTTTACAAGAATCAAACCAGTGGATCATAAACCTTCAGCACCCACACTACCAACTCAGTCTTCCCTGTCCATGACGTCTACTGAGCCTCTCAAAGCTGGAGACAGAGTAACCTTTTTTGGTGACAAAAATGCTCACCATGGCATGGTTATGGATATAAAGGACCACCCAGATGGCAAAATGGTTCTCATATCTACTGTGAGTACTGACTTCTGACTTCTTAGAGTGACTAAAAATGAATATTTCACCCAAAAATGAATTTACTCAATGTGGTTCTAAGTCTGTATAAGTTTCTTTAAGTTGAACAAAGAGGGGGAAATTGTTAAGGATTTCACCTTTTGTGTTCCACAGAAAAAAATAACTGCATACAGGTTTGGAATGACATAGGAATAAATAATGACATAGTGAATAAATAATGACAGAAATTGTATTTTTGGGTGACATTTTTTGTTGTTGTAACATTCTCTTTAAACACGTTCCTTAGATCTAAAGATAAAAACAACTGGATTGGTAGCATGATAGAAACAAGTCCAAAAAAGAAAGCTTTACCTGCATGTTTACATAAATATTAGTCCCAGAATAATGTTCTATCTCTTAGGGTGCGTTTATAAGATAATGTTTTGCTAAAGAAAAGTTTTTCCTTTGTATTTTTTGCATACAGATGACAACATCATCAAAATGATCCCCATTCACAGGGATCCATAAAAATGACTTAAACACTATTTATTTATCCATGCCAGGCCAATAGTTGGTAATGTTACTTTGTAAAGAAACACTATGCAAACACGTAATATGCTTGCGATGTCACCGTTTTCACAAAGTTACGTTTTTGTAATTTACACGGAGACAATAACGGTATTGTTTGCAAAAACTTGCACTTTGAAACCTGTTTATAACCCTAAATGATGAACTAAATGTAAATTAAAAGAAAATTACAGATCTTTAAAAAACATATTACATAGATGTATGTACAAGAAAAACAAGACAGTATACAGATTAAGGTATAATAGTGTGTTCACCTAAAACTCAAAGAAGAGCTATTGTACAATGTTATATTAAGTAAGAATACTTTTCTAAAATGTTCCTCTTCTCAGGATAAGGATGAAGAGGGGAAGCGAGGAGGAGAGATAATGCTCCCACTGGATTGTGTAATTAAAGAGGAGCTGTTAAATAAAGGTAACATATGCATGTGTTGCCGCGGGTTTTATGTGTATTTATAGAACAGAAGAACACATAATACAACCTTAGTATAAGCATTTGGGCTTGGACACTCATGCAAACAATAATTTCTATCATATCAATGTAATGGAGTTAGTTTCATATTATACTTTTCTTTTTTTGCTTTGTTATTCTTGTGACCAGATGGAACTGAAAAAATGGACACTTCTCAGGGCCCAGGGATGGGGGGTGTTACTGATTCTGACGAAATCACTGTTGGCTCCCTAGTGCAGTTTCTGGGAAAAACACTACTTTATGGTATTGTCCGCTGGATTGGCTGTTTACCCAATTTCCCTGGGATGACTGCTGGACTGGAACTGGTAGGTTCTCTATATACCAGTTCAACTGTTGTAATCTTTCAGAAATTCCTGTAGTTCTGAAATAAAATAAAAATACAAGCCAGTTTCACCATTTGTTAAACTAAGACTGTAATATATGTATTTTTTCTTAGGAGGACAGCAGTGCCGGCGTGACTGATGGAACATATAAAGGAAAACGGTACTTTAACTGTCCTCCTCACTGTGGTTTATTTGTGAAACTCTCGTCTTGTCGGCCTGATGATCGCTTTTCTGGTGTAAAGAAGAAGCTGTTCAATGGACACTCTGGTAAGACCTAATGATATGGTTAAGTTTTTGTGAAATTACATTGTACTGTATTTAAAGGGTGTCAGGTGTTTATTAGCAGAAAGTGAAACTTTACCATGGACAGGTAGATTACACCAACCAATATTATGTTGACACCTACTGTAGTGGAACTTGTGTAACTTTCATGTGTGCCTCATTCTTCTTCTCTGTGACAGATAATGATGAGGCAATGGTATCTGAGGAACAGGACAATGTGCCACCTATTAGAACAGAAGATGTGTCAAAACGACTGATTGGTAAGATGAAAGGCATTCAGGGTCACTGCAACTCCTGTTATATGGACTCTGCCCTGTTCAGGTTAGAACTCATCATAAATATGATTTACTTGGAGTTTTAATGTATGTTGTATTATAATGTATATTAAATTATATTTACTGTATAAGAATATATATATATATATATATTTATATATATTTCTTTAACATACATTAAATATAATTAGTGTAGAATGTAGAAGTAGAGTCAACAAATAAATAAGCACAATTTAATCTCTGGTTTAATTTATCAACAGTTCAATAATATGGCATGATCTTATTTCTGTTTTTTCTTTTTGTCCAGTGTGTTTTCCTGTTCTTCAGTTCTGGATTCTCTGCTTTTTAAGACTACAGAATATGAAACCATTCAAAGTATTCTGCTAAAGAGCATTGTTAACCCTCTCCGCAAGTGAGCTTGTGGCCCTCATTTGGCTTTGTATTGATAGAATTTTGACCTTGTAAAATTTAAATTTGAAAGTCATGCTAAGCAGACATTTCAATAACACTTATTGTACATATACACATATAGGAGAGCTTGAATAGCCTAATTTTCTCTCCTAATTTACAGACAAGGTTTTGTATCAGAGCACAGTGTGATGAATCTTCGGAAACAATTACAGAAACGGGAACACTGCCCCACTTACACCACAGATGAGAAGGGTACGCTATCTCCTTGATGTCATAGCCATATTCAGCTTTTTTAGCGATGTCAAGTTTCAAACAGAATATTAAAGAAAAATGTCCGACTTTACATTTCTCTACAAGTCATCAAAACGCAGATCCCAAATATTACACAGCTGTTTCCACAAATTATTTATAGCTCATTATCTATAAAAGATCTCTTGGCTGTTTTATAGAATTGCACTAAGCATAGTGTTTTTCCTGATGTGTGCAGATCCTGAGGAGTTCCTCTCTCTCATCATGCAGGAGATTCTCTTTCTGGATCCGCCACTCATACTCTGGTAGGGAACTTTTTCATTGTTTTCATTTGTCAGTAGGGACAGGAATTTAGCTATTCTAATTCCTTCACAATTTCATTGTTTATTCCTAGTAATTTGAGGAAGTACCAAATAATTGATCCTAACTACTATACTATTTAACACATACACACACACACATATATAAACTACACGTTGGAAACACTGTCCGAAAATTTTAGCATGATCTCTTTGCAAAGGCGGAAGATTGACATTCAAGAAACTGTAAGCAAACTGAACATCATGAAAATGATTCTGTTACAGTTTTTAGGAAAAAGATCTGTTTCTTGATTCCTACCTCTAATTTTCAGAGATTGCTTCTGCTAAATATGTCTTGGCATTTATAGAATGCCTTCTAGTTTATAGAAGTTTTTTGGAGTTTATGCATTAATATATGTTTATTACTTGATCTGCCTTTAGCAGCCAATCAGGAAGCACACAAAAAGTGCAAGGCTGTTACTACTACCAAATCTTTATGGATTATAACCACCATTTAGTCCTGCCGACAGTTCAGCAGCTACTGGAACATTCATTTTACAGCAACAGTCTCAAACTAGCCGAGGTATCATTCTTCCTTTTGTTTGTTTTGTGTTGAGTGTTTGAA